TTGTGTACTATGGTAGGTATGGTGAAGCCTAAAGTCTCACAAGTCTGTATCAACTAGTTTACGTCTATTGTACTGAAAATTCATTTTCTTGTAACAAAAGTGTTATTCTTCATGAGGTATACATAGTATGAAAATAATTATACCTTTAAAACAATTATATGTTTCTTCTGAAATGATAGTGTAGTAACTAGAATGTACTTCTTTTTTTTATAGAAAAGCTATATTTTAGTAAAAAGCTTCATAAACCATGTAGTTTTTTCAAATCATAAATTTTCTTATGATGATATAACGTAGATTATGTTTGTTTGGTTAGTTTTGCATTTCAAAACTAAAATATCACAAATAATTATACCAAAGCTAGTGATAACCATTTCTTATGCAAATAATATCTTATATTTAACTTGAAGATGAAATCATGTAAGTATTTATGAGATAAACAAAGTTTTAATTGTATCCCCCCCCCCCTAAAACATGAAAAACTTGAAAATGTGGGGGTATGAACTCACCTTGAGTGGATTTTATGGGTTGTTTGAGAAGGTGGTGTGATGATCTTCACGCCTAAACACTTGAATGGGTTGATGAGCTTCCTTGAAAATATTGTTATCCTAAGGGTTTTAACACATAATAATGTATGTAAATAATATGAAACTAACATGAAAGTGTAACAAAACACTAGATCAAAAAGGAAATCTTACCAAAGTTCTAAGGATGAACTTGGGAAATTTTGAACTTGGAAGCTTGGAGTTGATTTTCTTGAGAGGGAATGGAGAATTCTTTAGAGGGAAATGGAATGGGTGGGGTTTGTAGGGTGATCTGCCGTAGTTAAGGAAGAAGAGATGAAATGATGTTTTCCTTGTTATCTGCTGGACAATTACTTTGATACATGTTGGGTATTGTTTTGCATGGGAAAGGAGGATAAGCATCTAAATCACAAAGTCAACTGTCCTTTTCCCACTTTTCCAACCGAAATCACTTTGGGAGGGAAAACAAATTGGTGATTTCGGCCATACATGACCGAAATCGCCTTGTATACCACCAAAGTCCTTGAGATTTCGGTCCTAGGTCCTTCATAGCTTGAAATTTCGGCCTTAAAGGAGACCTAGAGTGGTGTTTTCGGCCTAGGGTGTTCTAGGGTGGTGTTTTCAGTTTTGTAGTCCCCACTAGGAGGTGATTTCGGCCCTAAGAAACCGAAATCACAAGGGAGGTGGGGTACTAGGCCATAAATTATAAAATAATGTTTCAAATTCATGATTTTATGTTCCAACAATTTGGCTTTTAAAGATTAACTACATCATGGTTTTCAAAGTTTATATATACATATCCTTATATTTAATCCCACAATGATGCCCCTTTGGCTTTCAAGATTTTATTGTAACAAAATACGTTGTGAACTCACTTATACACTATTACAATTTAACCCTTGCTTGTTCCAAAATTTTCCGGTTGTCACATCATCCCCCCATTAGATGGAATTTCGTCCCAAAATTAGCATCTTAAACGGGTTCATACAACTAGCATAAAAGTTGTGGGTTCTTTTGTTTCATCTGATCTTCCCACTCCCAAGTGAATTCACGCCCTCGCTTGGCGTTCTAGAGGACCTTCACTATTGGTATACAACTTTGTTTTGTTCTCTTGATCTCCCTGTCCATTATTCCCATAGGTTCCTCTAGGAAGTGTAGACTCTTGTTTACCTCGATCTCATCGAGTGGGATCACAAGAGTCTCGTCGGACAAACACTTCTTTAGGTTGGACACATGGAAGGTAGGATGTATGTTACTGAGTTCATGTGGTAGTCAAAATTTGTAAGCCACCAGGCTGATTCTAGCAAAGGTCACGAATGGCCCGATATACCTTGAACTTAGCTTTCCATGTTTTCCAAAACATACCATTCCCTTCCAGGGTGAGACCTTGATGATAGTGTGATAGCTGATATCGTAAGGGAATTCGATGAGTGGCAAGTGAGTATCCCAGTTCTTACCAAAGTCTATCACACAAGCTCTTAGCATATCTTCCAGTGTTTGAATAGTCCTTTCACTTTGACCTTCTGTTTGAAGGTGGTAAGTTGTACTCATGTCAAGCTCGGTTCCTAAGGACTTCTTGTAGTGACTGCCAAAATTGTGAGGTGAACCTACTATCCCGGTCGGAGATGATGGATATTGGCACCCCATGTAGTCGGACGATTTCTTTAAGGTACGTCCTTGTTAGCTTTTCCATCTTGTCGGTCTCTTTTAGTGGCAGGAATTGTGCGGATTTGGTTAGCCTGTCAACGATCAACCAGATGATGTAAAGTCCACCCGTCGTCTTGGGTAGCTTGGTTATGAAGTCCATGGTTATCCGCTCCCACTTCTACTCGGGTATGTCCAGTTGCTGAAGCAAACCCAAGGGCTTTTGATATTCTACCTTGACCTTGGCACAACTCAGGCACTTGCCCACATAGGTAGCGATCTCTGCTTTAATGTTCGGCCACCAATAAAGTTGCTTGAGGTCCAAATACATTTTGTCTGAACCGGGATGAATGGAGTATTTTGTCTTGTGAGCCTCATTCATGACCACGTCTCTGCAACTGCCGAATTTCGGTGTCCAGATTCGGTCCATGAAGTAGTGAGTTCCGTCATCCTTGACTTCTAAGTTTTTATCCATTCCCCGCAATGTCTCATCTGTGATGTTCTCGACACTACAAGAAAACAAGCCTTTAATGACACGCAAACAACGACACACACTGATTTACGATACACATTTTGTGTGTGTCCTAAAAATAATGTCAGCTTTCCAAAATTTGAAGAATATAGGACACGCATTTGTGCCTGCCCTAAAATTCGAGTCTAGCAAAAAAAATTTACAAACACGGAGGGCGGTTACGTTAAATGTGTGTCATCTAGAAATGTCGCTTTATAATTTTTAAATCAAACGCGTGTTTTTAAAGGGGTAAAACGAAATCCTCTGAAATTATAAATTTTTGAAGCGCCCCGCTTCTGCACTTTCTCCTCTAAATCTCCTTATCTCTCATAAAATCGCATATAACCATTCTCTCCCTCTTCCTTCTCTCTAACCCTAGACACAGCCACATGCCATTGACGACAATGTCTTCTTACCCTTTCCTTCTTCCTTTCTCCATATTTGTGACCTTCGTCGAAGCTATCTTCTCCTCCCCCGCCACCACCAACAACCTACATCCTCATTCAGTACCCAAAAAAGCAGACTAATCGTTCACCTTTCATAATTTCTCTCACAACACTTAGGTTTTTGGCAATGAACGAAATCGACCCCCTACTCCTTTGACGTGTTCTAATTTCTTACTGTATCTAGGTTTAAATCAGTCATTGCAGTAAAACATCTACATGCTCCTTCACCTTGAAATCAATAAATAATCCAGATGCAATTTCAACTTCTGAAATGTTGAAGAAAGCAACAATAATCACACCTATTCAGTTTTCAACAGTGGGGAGAAAAGCGACAAAGTAATGGTGACGATTTCATCATTAATTAGCTTTAAATATATTCAGCAATGGAGGAAAAATAGAAGAGAGACGAAGATGTATACGTGGAGGGGTGGCATTAACAGCGTGAAAGAAGGCGGATGCGGAGGCGGCGTCGATGTTGTCTTCTAGAAGGGGGATGCAGGAGTGCCGACCAAAAGATGACTAGGGGTACATCGTCATTTAGTTACCCGAGCAGAATCTACAAACATTGCAGGTAACGGTGTACTGAATTTCGTTTAGTTTTTGCACCACCACACCGCTGTGTGAAATCGAATTTTTGGAAACGTAAAATTAGAGAAGATTATAATTACTGAAAAAAACGGTGGATATACCGATTCCACAATCTTCTAGTGAGTCTTCTTTTTTCTTGGAGAAATCACATTAATATTCTTCCTAAGCATACCGATTCCACAATCTTCTATTGAGTCTGCTTTTTTCTTTCTCTAGTTGTTTTCTGAATTTTCAGGGTTTTCTTCCGCTTCATGTTCAGAAGTATTTTGGTGATGATAACTGATAAGTAGGCTGATTTCCTGATGCTTTTCCATAACAGGTCAAAAGAGGAGTTCAGTGAGATTGAAGGTTAGTTAAATTTGGAAGGTTGACATGATTCCACGATCCCAAAAACGTTATATCGATTAAAATCATTATTCTGAATATAGAGGTCATTCATTTCTTCTAGAAAAAGCATCGCACTATACTTTTTGATGTCAAAGTACTTTACAAATTACAAGCACAAATTGGTATCTAAGATTTTACGGAATTGCCTCCAACATTATTGTGTTTGTGGTTTAGTTAGTGAATTCACCTAGAAAAGCTTAAAACTCCCAATACTGAAGTTGAAAAGGAGTCGGTTTGAAGTCAAAGTCCAAGTTTAGCTCTATCCTTTTCATTATTATCATGTTTTCCCTGGATTGCATATTATCTTTACTTGTTTTCATAAATTCAAATGGTAACTCCTATATGCACTTTTTTATCTATTCCTGTATGAATTCTAGATTATCCGATGAAAAATTACAATTAGGTTAAATAATACTATAAGTAGAACCCCACTTTGTCTAGACTCTTGATTTTCATTGAAACGGAGTTTTGCATTTTTGTTTGAAATTTGTTTCATAAAAAGTTAAAGGATAAATTGCAATTAAGTTTTTGGTATTCAATGTTAATGCTTCTCATTACATTTGCCGTAACATATTGAGTTTTTGGTATTTGGTAAACTTTACATTTTAAACTTGATTTATACCATTGAAAGTGACTTGCTTAATTTTTTCTTATACCAGATTTCAGAACTTCGCATAGACAAACATATTTTAACATGGGAAAAGGAAGCCTATTATAAATCAAGTTTTTACACTTTTTTTTTTGTCTCTTTTACACTTTAGGGCCTAAACTTAATCTTATTTACAACTCGAATGATATTTATTACAATAAATTCCAAAATTTAAAATGTTACAATGCAATGATGAACATATTTAAATTTGCTGTAATTATTTAAATTCATAGGGTTTTTAAGGAGCTAAAAAAATGTCCAACGTTCGAGCATTATGGCAAGCTTCTTTAACTTGCACTAAAAGAGGTATGCACACTTTTTGTTTTCTACTACTAATAATAAATATTGATATTAAATATTAATGGCTAAAATGCAAATAACATCAATATATACTTCCATTAATTTTGTTTATTATATTTATAGCCTCCTACTTTCATTTCTTCCTATTACAACATTCTACTTTGAAAGAAATAAAAGTAGAATTCTATAGTACAAAAATAAATAAAAGTACGTTGCCATTTCTTGCATTTTAACCCTAATTTTTATAATATCCGGAGTAACCTGATTTTTTTATTTGTTTTTTGTTTTGAAGCTCTCTCGTGGAATGTCAATGACATGTTTCCTCTTAGCGAGAGATTTATATACAACTTTAATTCCAAAGAAGAGCTTAAAAAATGGCATTTATATTCAGTTTCTGAATATGGAGGTGTGTAATTTTTCTTTTATAGAAATGTATTATTTTAATTACATCATGATTAAAAAAAGTATTCTTTTACACTATTTTATTATTTTATAGGTTTATGATCGGCAGAATTGGAAATCACTGATGCTGGAAATCAACAGAGTGGTGACAACACTGGTCAGTAAAATTTGCATAATTTTATAATTTATTATTATTATTGGAATGTTTAAATGATTATAGGAGTATTCTCTGGGAATCTTTCTCAAGATGTTACTGATAGTACAAAATGGAATATTAGCCGGAGAGGATTTTGCGGAATGAGGTCTAAAAAGCTCGATATCAACCCTTTTACTTTTTTATTTACACATTTACCCCCTGAGCTTTCTAACAATCTTTCTTTCTAATTATCATCCCTACAGTTTGACGGTTTTATCGATTTAGACCCCTACGATACCGTAGCACTAAAAATCAGAGGATATGGGAGGAGTTATATATCTACTGTAAGTTCTTACTTCTTATATATAAAATATGTAAACACATTTTGAGTATTTGGTTATAAATAGTTTTATAATTTTTGTTTCAGATTTACACCGAAAATTGAGTGAATTCTCCTGGACAAATGGAAAAAAATTCATGGCAAGCTTTTGTGTCTGTGCCTAAACACAATAAGGTTGTTGCAAAGGTAAGTTTTCAATGCATTTTGTTAAACATTTTAGGATGTTAATGATGAACTTTGGAATGGAATTGCAGATTCCGTTGGCGCATTACCTTCGAACATGGAGATGGAATGTAATTGAGGTGGATATAGAAATTAATCCATCAAGAGTTGTTGGAATTGTATTCTTTGTGAATGCTGAAGGTGGTGTACCTGGTGGACAAACTGGCCCAGGTGAATTCAGATTGAAAATTGATTGGATCAAAGCCTTTAGAACACAATAAATTAAAAAATATATATAAAAGTATAAAACATTTATGTTTTTAGTATAATAATATGAACATAGGAACTTATAAGTGCATAAAAGAGTTACCATTTGAAGTGCATACAGGAGTTACCATTTGAATTTTTGTTTTTAGTGTAATAATAGAGTTGTTAAGTCCAAGTTTAACATTTCTGTTTTTAGTATAATAATATGAAAAATGTTTTTGATTATGTTGTGTTTAGTCTTGAGAAGGATTATGGAATGAAATATTGTCGATATGAAGCAGGTGTTGATGTTTTCTTGTCTGGATACGTTTTTCACTTGAAGATTTTGCATGAGAGAGACCTAGGCTTGTTAAATGGACAATGTAAGAAAATCTTGTCATTTTCATTTTGAAATTTAATGAAAGGTGAAAAACAAGAACACAGTAGAAATATAATGATTTGTATTTTGTCTTAATGCAGCTGAAAGTTATCAAGTAAAGAGAGTTTCCTCAAAGGTAGCAAGGAAAGAATTAAGAAAGTTGAAGCTGGTGAGTAGATTTTCTGTGAAAAACTAAGTATTATATAATACAATTTTATCTAAATTATTTGATTATAAGAATAATTAGTAATTAAAAAAATTATAATATGTCGTTACATGCTGCAAGAGATGTTGGAGCCCTTATAGAAACTAAGGACAAACTCGAGAAGTGAGTTGTAGAGCTGACATGGAGATTAGACTTTGAAAAGCATTTGAGGGTATGTTTTTTTATATTTCTTGTATATAATTAGTTTGTAAATTTTGTTACAACTTCTATTGATTTGTTTTATCTTTCCATGGAACGATTATTTGTATGACATTAATTTTTATGCAATGGATTGTATTTTTTGTATATGATATCTTATTTTCTATTATGAGACATTAAATACAAATTTAATTTGAAAATTAGTAAATCTATAAATAATATTTTTTTAAAACATTTAAATTTATGATACGCAAAAATATGTGTCATCTTCATTTATGACATGGCCTTTCTTGACAGGGGCTTTAATGATACGCAATGCGAGTCGTAAATGTGCGTCGTAAGGTTACGACACGCAAATGCATGTCATCTTCCTTTATGACAGGGCCTTCCTTGATACGCAATGCGTGTCGTAAACGCGCGTCGTAAATGCGTGTCGTAATTGCGCGTCGTAAATAGACGACGCGCAAAAGCGTTTTGTCTCTCGTTAGGACAGGGCCTTCCTTGATACGCATTTGCGCGTCGTCTGAGCGTTTTACGACACACATTGTGCGTCGCAAAAGGCTGTTTTTCTAGTAGTGCGAGTTTCAAGGCTTCTAGCTGTGCCTCCTTGATGTGCTCGGACAGATGGGAATGGATGGTCATGGTTAATGATTTTACTCGGTGACCCGAGTATTCCTTCCGACTCAGGGCATCCGCTACTACGTTGGTCTTGCCTGGATGATAACGAATTTCACATTCGTAGTCATTTAGCAGTTCCACCATCGTCGTTGTCTCATGTTGAGCTCCTTTTGATTGAGAATGCGTTGAAGACTCTTATGATCTGTGAAGACGGTGCACTTTGTACCGTAGAGGTAGTGTCTCCAAATCTTCAGGGAAAATGCCACGACTCCTAGTTCGAGGTCGTGCGTGGTGTAGTGGACCTCATGGACTTTTGAGTTGTCTCGGGAACCTCTTTCTCTGGACTATGAGCGGATGGTGTTCCGTATTGTAGTCGGCACTAAGCGGTGTGGGGATTTGGCTACGGGGTGGCTTCGGGGATTTAGTCGATTCGAACTCGACTCGACGTATGGTTGGGATTTTTTTGGGTGGTCTTCTGGGAATATATCGGGAAAGTTACAGACTTCCGGAATGCCCTGGATTTCTTTCGCTTCCTGACACTCACTCTTATCTTCGGCTAAGTTAGGCATAGTACCCCTTGTATAGGTACTTTCGATCCTTGACGCAAGGTACTAGTCATAGGTTTGTGTTGGATTTGTCTTCATTGATGACAAGGGTTTTGTTATTTGGTAAGTTAAATCAAGCGGCCTTTTCGTGACATATGTTATTAGTATGATGAGGATTTAACTAAAACATGTAAATGGTTGCACCAATTTTCCTTTTGTCAATTGGTATTAAGTCGATTTAGAAGGAATGTTCACTTAGTGTTACAGTGCATCCTAGGTATGGGTTGTTGGTGGTGTTAGTTCTTCCCCTAACTATTTCTACCAGGAATATTTTGTGAATGTTTGAGGTTTATATTTGAGTATGCATTTATACCTCGTGACTCACGAGTCTCCTGTCCTCACTCTTATTGTAAGGTATGCATGCATATGATTTATTTGTGGAGGAAATATAACGGTAATCACAGCGGGGTTCCATGTAGGTTCCTCATGTCCCGCGGTTGGAAATCCTATGACACTGCTGACCTTTTTGCTTTTAGTCTTTGGGCACTCCCTCTTGCGATGCCCCACCTCTCCACATCCGTAGCAAGCCTGACTCACTCTAGCAGTTGCGGATCGGGTGGTTTGTTGGGCCGACATTCTATAGAAACGGGCGGTATGCCCTTTCTTGTTGCATTTGCCGCAATGCAGTTCTCGGCAGTATCTATGGTGATGAAAGTTACACCTGATGCATTTTGGCAGGTTTCCAGCATATGGTCTTGTCGACATTGAGGCAGTTCGGACAACAGTGGCATGGGCTGCCACAGTTTCTTGTCTTTTGGTAGATCCTTGAGTCAGACGGTCCTTTTTCATGTTCCCGATCTTTCTCTTCTTGGGTAGTACTCCTCCATTGACGTGGGAGTTCTTAGGTTTGTAATATGGGGGGTCCTTGCAGGTACACACCTGTTGGTGTCCTTGGCTGTCACTGTGATTGGAACTGTAGGCACTGTTCTCGTTTCCGTTGGTGTTGTCAACGCTAAGTTGGGTCATTACGGCTGCCACAACGGCTGTTACGGCGGCTTGGAATGTAGCGGCGTCCATTCGTAGAACTGGTGTTGAGCCGGTATGCCGGCTACTCCTGCGTGATGGCATGATCCTGTCGTATGTAATGAGTTAATAAGTAACTATGGTCATTGCTAGTTGTATCTCATCTACACTTATATTTATATACATATAAACTACATGTTTTGTTGTACAAATTCCTAAATGTTTTGACCAACATTATCGAAATGCACTTATGTTAGTAAGTAGTGGTAGGTATTGTACAAATGTTAAGTTACCAAGATAGAACTTAGAAGTCAAAAACATTAAGTTGGTCCGGGGCATACTGGCTTTGGAGGGCGTATCTCGCTTGGTTTACTACCACCGATTGTGATAAAGGCGTGATGAGTCTAACACATAGTGGAAGTAGCGTAGTCACCAACTCTCTAGGCTATAATAGCTTATCAGGTGCCACTTTGGCTCGCAAAGTGTCCGACCATCTCAAACATCTCACGAGTGGCCTCCTCCGCTCTCTGTCCTACCATAACTGCCATAGCTTCAGTTGTGATTTCCCTCTCCTCGAGAGTCGAATGTCTCTCCTGGTACTCCCTCGTTCCTCTCGAGCGGTGGTGAGGTCCTCATGGATTCGGTCAATGAGATGGTAAGTCTGAGGGTAATCACTCACCAGCAGTCGAGTGCGTGTGGTTGTGGCCTCAGTCGCGGCCCCCAGCTCCACGATCCGTTTCGCCGACACCCTGGTCTGTTCTCCGAGGTGTGTGATTCGCTGAACCATAACAGGGAGGGCCCTGTCTGCCGGTTCCCTGCGACTGAGGTTATAGAAACCTCGTTGCATGTCATATGAGGAACGCTGGCGTTGCTGCCTGTTTCATCTCTCTAGGTCCTCTGTCCAGCGGGGCATGGGTCCCTGGTAGCCCAAACGATGTGCGGGAACTTGGGCGATATATCGAGGATTTATGACTTCGGGCTCTGCGTCTGAGTTCTCCTCCTCTTCTTCTTCTTCCTCTTCCCCTGGATCCTCTTCGGGACCCTCTTCGGGTTCTTCTTCCATTACGTGCGTGCGAGAATAGAGATATGAGGAATACATGAAAAGCTTAAGTCTATAATTTTGTAGTATTCCAAAATACTCCTATAGTATTTTAAATTTTATGTTTGATTCTAAAGTTTCTTGGTATATAGGGTTGGTAAGTTTTATATTTGTTGCCCACCATGAGCATTCCTAAACACATGTTGGTCATATCTCGTATAAATATAGTTGACCAGGCTATATTTATCCCATATATGATAACATAACTGTCTAGAGGCTTAACCATAGTGTTTAACTCCTCTAAATACTTTTATATAGTTCTTATTATGAAACTGCTTCTAGTATGTATGCATGCATGTATACTCTTATAAAAATACTTATATTATAAAAGGTATACTTTTAGTTAGAGTGTTTTAGTCCCATTGTATTTATAGTTGTATATCTTAATTGGTTTGATATACTTAGTTCACTATAAACAATATTTTGATACCAATCTGTCACACCTCCAAACCAGAACGGCGGAAACGTTTGGGGGCGGATGACTTTCATGTACAATATCATAACAATTGAATAATAGAGATCAAAGCATCACAACCATTATATTGATGTATAATATGTTTACATTGTACTAAAAAACATCGTTTACATGGTATCGAATGCATTGTGACAATAATGAAATAATGAGATGCGACGACGCCTCATCCACCAAAAACTCTTGTGATTACCTGGTTACTGATTTCCTGAGAATACAAGTGATTTTGAAAAGTTTCAACAATTAAGTTGGTGAGTTCGTAAGAGCTTTGTATGAGAAGGATTTGTAACTGTTGCGTGTGAAATGATAATGTAAACTTCCAGAAAATCCAATATTATCTTTATAAATGAGTTGTAAGTCTAAAGACCAAATGTAAGTAATGATGTACTGAAAAGTAGTGTTCTGAAGTTTTATCTCTATATAAAAACTACTTAAATATATGTTATCCTTGTTTAAAGTCCCAAGACTAAAAATGTAAGTGATGGTGTACTAAAAAGTAGTATTAGTAAGCATTACCTTTATATAAAACTACTTGAATGTATGTTATCCTCGTTGTGAGTCTTAACCCAAGACTAAAATGCAAGTTATACTTTACTGGAAAGTAGTATTAGTAAGCTTTACCTTTATATAAAACTACTTGAATGTATGTTAAACTCGTTGTAAGTCTTGACCCAAGACTAAAATGTAAGTAATACGTTACTGGAAAAATGGATTTAGTAAGTGTTATCATTTTGTGAATCTATTTGAGTGTACGCTAGCCCATAAACCCAATGTTTTGTCAATACTATAATGTGAGTTATTATAACCATACTAATGCGACCGGTTGCCTGAACGACGCGCTTCAGACGTCGGAACTATTTACGACATTTGTCACCCCAGACCTGTCGGTCTAACTGTAGCTAACAGTTTAGGTGCGGGGTTTTTAATCCCGTATAGATCTATACACAAGTATCAAACTCTCCCTCCAAGAGACTATGGTTATAATGCAGGTCTTAGTTGTGTACTCTGGTAGGTACGGTGAAGCCTAAAGTCTCACAAGTCTGTATCAACTAGTTTACGTCTATTGTACTGAAAA